GTAACTAAACTGACAGTTTTTCTGAAGACAGTGAGAATGTATCCCAAGAACACATCTGGTTGCATGCCATACTGTGAACTTCTGAGGTTACAAAATAAACAGGACTGTTGTCAAGGGTGCTGCACAGACATTTATTTGACTCATGGATCTCTTAAAATTTTGCCAAGTTTTAAAAATGCTTGTCATAGTCTGTGTTCTTTCCAAGGTAAAGTATCTTTATTGGGTTTCTTCCACAATTATTTTGGAGTTTCTGTCATTGTACATATAATTTTGAATATTTTTATATTTTTTGGCAGTCTGTTGTATTAGTTAACCTATCCTTATTTTTAGAAATGCCTTTTCTCTAATATACAGTGTAATTATATTCCTTGATGCATCTGTTCTTCATATGCAAGGGTAGATGCTGCTTTTCCTTTTTTAGAAGTCCTTTATGAATTTGAGCATCAGTCCTTTCTTCTTAGCATTTCAATTTTGGCTCCTACCTCTGTAATTTGAACTTGTCTTTTGCACAGCACTCAGGATTGCCAGGATATCTATAGAGTTCATTTTTCTGAATGTTCATTGAAGCAGTCAGTGACTGACTTCTGTTTTTTTTCCCTGAAGATGACTAAGTCATTTGCATCCTTGGGGCAGATTTACAATTTGAAGTGCAGAATATTTGACTTCTTGCTTGCCTTTACTCAACCAGTGTTATCTGCAGCCATCACCATGGTAAAGAAACTGACTGACACAAGCTTACCTCTGCTCCATGCTTCTGACTGCGCCCTATGTGTTTTAGCAAAGTAGCACTGAATGTAGCCTACAGCTTGAAAATTGAGACAGCTGAAACAAATATTTTATTAATCTGTTAGTATTATATAGTATTATATAACACAGAACATTGTTAAAACTGACTTGGGGTATGCTTGTGTCAGTAAATCCTGTCCGGTTTTCTACTACCAGCAGACTGAACTGCCAGTACAGTTGGTACCCATGTACTTTTGTCTAACCTTAATTTTCAGTTTCAGTTCAGCTCAAGGCTTACCCTTTCACTGATTCCTAGCAAAACAAAGATCCAAAGCTGAAACTAGAAGAATTCAAACCCTATCACCATATATATTTTCACTGAATTTCATGTTCTTCTCCTTTTGTTCATTCTTTATCCTAAAAAGCAATTATTAGTATATTCAGCTAATAGGAGATTAACCTCACAGGTTTTTGTGGTATTTTGTGAGTGAAGTAGGACTAGAGAAAACCATTCAGGAAATATGGTGATAATTTTTATACTAAAATGTTGTACAAGAATTCTCTTCTAGATACTAATCCTATGTAAACCTCCCTTTATTTTTTAGTGTGTGATTTCCTGGGGGAAAAGATTGCATCTGTTCTGGGAATAAGCACACCAAAATACCAATATGCCATTGATGAGTATTACAGAATGAAGAGAGAGGTATGTGTGGGAGCTAGGGTTCTTGCACTCCTTCTCTCCCAACATGTCTTCCCTGGTACTCTAAAAAATAAAATTTATATTCTAGCATTAAAATGAAGCTTTAGACCCTCAATTTCAGCTTGCCTCCAGTTTTCATTTGATGCATGATTAATGCTTTCTTATCCATCAGCCTTTTCTCTCCAGCTCATCAGTCTTAGAAATGGGTGGGTGCTGACCTCTGCTCTGTTTCTCTTGTACCATGCATTCTTTAAGTCAGCACTGTGAGAAAGTTGGATGGACAGCTGCTGAACACTGAAAAAGGGGTATTGCTGCCAGCAATACACTTTCCAGCTCTAAAACTTGTTCAACACAGTCTCAAGGGTAAATTGAACATGAGGTTACTGTTTGTTCTAAAGCATAAAGGGGCAATACTGATAAATAGCCAGTGCTTTGGGCAAAATAACCTAACCCTTAATAATCTTCCTTTAGAAGAGATTGAAAACATATTTAAAGCTTTATTACTTTTTTTTTAATTGAGAGCTGAAAAAACTTTAGAGGAGGTAGACCTATCACTGTTGCTGTTAACTAAAATTGCTTATTTAGATATGTGTCTTTTTTCTGTGTTTAACACAGTTTAATCCTTCACTTTTGGGGATTTTTTTTTTTTCATAATGGGAGTGGAGTTCTGGAATGTACCTGGTCTTATGATCAACTAGTGACTGTTTTCTAGTGGAACAAATGTCCTTACCTTGTAACTATTATGCTCTTATGGAAAGACTTAATCTAAGTGGTAAATAGTAGCATATGAATCTGATTATCTCTTTCTAGGCAGAAGAGGAGGAACAGGAAAACAAGATGTCAGAAGAAGCAGAAAGGCAGCATCAGGAACAGCAGAACAAGCCACAAGCTGAGGCTCCTGTCCAGACAGACCAGCCTGGAGCAACAGCATGCTCTTCATTTGTGAATGTAAACTTTGAAAATGAGGCAGATTGCCCACCCACTGTGGAAAATAACAAAGATGTAGTTCCTGTCCCTCCTTAAGTGCAAAGCTTTGTATAATGTAGGAAATAAGAACTGTCAGGTGTCACAATCTGCCTATAAACAGGAAAAATAGGATCATGCTTGTTCAGTGAAATACAACTCCTACCATTCTTATTGATCAGGAGAGAGCTAGGCAATGTCTGTTCAGTCAGTCTGCCTAATAAAGGCTGAGGCATTCTGCCAAATTGGCACTTCAGTTAAAATGAAAATTGCACTACAAACATTTGGTCTAAAATTGAATGTGTGAGCTAATTTCTGTGTAAAGTAAGTAGAAATGTCTTTTCTTTGAATTGCTGTGTCTCTAACACCTGTGAATTGCAGAGGCAGTGCTGTTTCCTACTTCTAAAAACCTGATTTGCACATTGTTTGCAACTTGGCTCTCTATGAATAGATTAATAGGAATTAATATCCTGTAACTCAAAGGTAATTATAATAGTCTTATTCTCCCTATTTATTGTCACTGTTGTATGCATGTATTTTTTCTGTTGTTAACACAAAAGAATAATGTTAGATTTAATGTTAATCAAAGGGTCCACTGACTTTTTGTTAATTAAGTAAAAAAAATCCCAACTTCCAGGAGGCTATAAGCATCCTTAAGAACTTACTAACAAGTACCAGCACTCCTGGAGGCCAGTAGTGCTCAGCTGCTCCATCCAGTGCTGTTGTAGCAAAGTTCAGAACTAACATCAGTCTAGGATGTTCTCAAACCCAAGAATTAAGAGGCCCATGTGCTTGAATGCATGCTCTCAGTGGTCTGGAAAAGAAACTAAAGTCTTGCTAAATGATATCAAGTGCATGGTACACTCTATGTAGTACCAGTCTGGAACTATGAACTTTTTTGGACATTGATTACACAAGTCCGTGTACTTGAGTAACCTGAACAAATTGTGTGTTGAATGTTAAATTGCCAGTAAGGGATGTGCCACTGCAGATAATTTTCATCCTATTAGCACAGAACACATACATAACTAGAAACAACAAAACCAAACTTAGGACTCTTTCCTTCTCTTAAATAAATGTGTTGTGATACTGCACTTACAAAACCAGAAATTTTTATTTTTGTCTAAATGAAGTGCAGCTCCACATCTAATACCAATTAAGCTGTTTTACTGCAGTGACTGTACCTGTAGCTTGTAAAAGGTGAAGAGTTTACTTTGCAACAATCAGGTGTCATTGCTTCAGTCATTTTCTGTGGACAACTGTTGTAGGTAAAGGAGCAGAGAACCTGCACTATTTACCATATAGAACATTACTTCTGTCTTTGAGATTTATAAAAAAATGTTTAAAATAGTCCTTAATGAAATTGGGTTGTTGGGTATCATGACATGTCCCTGGCCTTGCTCCCACTGCCAGCTGAGGAGCCTGATGTAACACCACAGGCCAGGTACCTTGGCTCTTAGTTTCTGGAATTAATCATGTATTTCAGATGACCCTCTGCCTGAACTAATGTCCTGTACAGCACAAATGCTTCCTCTCATCTGTCTGTAGCTCTCCAGTACTACAGAAAATCGAAGGAGGAAGATTCAATCATCAGCTCTAGTCCATCTGCTTTGATACTCCATTCTTTGCCTTTTCTGAATTGTAAGACAGAGGATGCTGACCATAGTGTAAAATCACTCCTTTGCCCTGGATGTCTGCAAGGGAGAGCCTGATTCAACACCAAGGGAATACACAGAAAATCAGCTTGTTAGTTCATATAGCATCAAAGAAAGAAAACATCAGATAGCTTGAGTAATACTTTGACAGCTGAAGGATACTTTGCTTTTTTTCCAATAAATTAATGTCAGTTTGGTTTTTTTTTTACTTCCTTTCCCTACTATTTGTTGCATAACAAATGCTCTCACTGCCTTCTTTGTATGAAATACTGTATTACTCACTGTGCCTTAACTTAATCTTTCCTTTTTTCCAAACTGTATGAAAGTGGTCACTTTCATATTGGTTTAATTTTTCTGTAAATGCATTAATTGGTTATTTTATATTTAATATAATTTTTGAACTGGAAGTTGGCTATGGATTTTCCTTTAAAACTGTGTGGTCTTTGAAACTTTATCCCTGTGCACAGGTGTGTGTGCCTGGTTAGTGTTTTCATCTTTACTAAGTCACACATCCTAGTGGAATACTCAGACACCAGATTTCAAAATATCATTTTACTCCCACCCCTTCCTTAGACTCTCATGTTCAGCACTACCTCAAACTAATAAATAATGCAGGATTGTAAACACTTCTGGCCTGGAGCTATTGTAATTCTATCTGAAAGCTGAAACATTTCTGTGGCTTACTTAAGGATTAAGAGAGTTTCACAGCTGTAACTGCTACTGCTGTAGCTCAGTCATACAATTAAGATAGATTACATAAAATACTTGCACAGGAGGTTAACTTGGTGAAAGCCTGTGTACAGGTGTAGTTTAGTTTTAACTAGATCTAAAGCTAGTGCAGTTTTATTTCTGTCAATGAACCTCTTAAAATTAGGTAACTATCCAGTTCAATAATTTACTTATCCTCCCTGTTTTAAAGCTGGTCATGCATAGAAGAAAAAGGCCTCAATTCTTTACTTCTTACTGAAAACTTTTGCCTTCACAACAGAATGCTCAACAGTGCTGTCATTAGAGGAAGCCATGCAGGATGGAAAGGGAGGCTTGGGATGGGTGACTGGATACAGGCCAGTGCTGAAGATACCAAGAACCACATTCTTACTTTCAGGTTAAATTCACATGTAGAATAAGGTATTTGAATAAAAACAGGGCTTGGTACACATGAAAAAAGTCCAAAAATATTTATTAAAAAAAAAGGTTCTTTTTGCCCTTAAACAGCACTTGCTTTTTTGGTTTCAGAAATTAGTTCTGTGATTTGTTTATGTACCACATTTTATATCATATGTGGGGCAGAGGAGGAAGGGAGAGAAGTAAAATGGAAGAGGAATTAATTCAGATAATGAACATTTCCAGCTTCCAGCAGTTGGCCCATCCAATGGAGATCTCTGTGGATAGTTGCTCCCACTGGCAGTCACGTTTCATCACCATCAGCAGTGCTGTCACTGTCGCTGGCCACAAGGACCTCTCTGTTCTCGTAGGTCCAGAACCCATTGAGATCAATCAGAATGCTGGTAACAGTGTCTCCTTGGCTGCTATTGATCAAGTCTTGAAGGGAGATTTTGTAAGGGTCCTTAGGCTTCACCATATCAAAGATTTCATCCTATGAAAGACAAGTCAAAATTGGGAGAAAAGCCCCACACATTAATGAGCAGAATAATGGCTATTTCATACCATATACAGAATGATCTTTGGGTAACTAGTGCCACCCACACCAATTCACAAAAAGCAGCTGTTAAGTCCCAAAGCATTTAAGACACAAAGCACACTGACTGACTGGCTACAGTTCAGAGCAGTGTCCTCAGCTCCCACATCTCAAGTAAGAATTTGCTTTTCTGGGGAGGCTTCAGCCTCAAAGTGACAAGTGAACTGAGATTCATTTTGCATGAGCTAAGTTTTGTACAAGCTCTTGTACTTTTTTTTAAGTACTGAAACTAAATAAGCAGTAGGCAGTGATCAGTTTTATAGGCTGTTTGTTTCAGTCAGCAGTCTGTCCCCTGTCCCCCCAAGGAATGATCCCCAGAACTGTAAAATGGACTTAGCAAGTGCCTTTCTTACACATGTTGTGTAAGAAACAACAACATGTATTTAACAGGTAATTTGTGTATTACTAAGGAAACTACTAGAACACATCAGTTACTTTACAGAGCAACTGCTGACTAGAAAGGCATTTTCAAACCTAGGAGTAGGACAAGTCAGCTCATTTCTAATACTCTCCAAGTAAACATACAGCAACCTAGAAATTATGATGTAACACAATTAAATTATTAAATGCTTATTCACAGATTTTACACAGTAGTCCATTTGGTAAAGCTAACCTTGACATCCTGAAAAGAAACTGGTTCTTGCCCATGAATTTTCATTTGTTCCTGAATAGCCTAGAAAAAAAGAGAAGTTAGGAATGGCTAGTGCAGTGTTATACTGACACTGTACAAAAGTTATTAAATGCTTCTGCATTTTAAGCTGTATTGCCCTCTAACAAAGCATCCATGGTACAGCTTGCAATAATTTTTCTTCCATATGTGAGGCAAGGGTGAGTTAAGGCACTATCAATGGTACACATCTCTAAGTTCACAGTTCTTAATGAATATGATATGAATCTCACTTTTATTATGACCAGTGTTTGAGCAATTTGCATATTATCCCTCAACACTCAAAACTTAAGACATTAATACACTTGAACCATAAGGTTCCATTTCTGACACAGTATGAATTACAGGCTAGGGAAAGAGAGAAGGAAAATGACCAATGAGCAGAAAGACAAATCAGTTATTTTAATGTGGTACTATTTACACACCTGCATCACCAAACCTACATCTGCAAAGCAAACTGTTTCACTAGCACAAGCTGCTCAGCCTCTGTAGGTGCAGACCTATTGACACTTAATGCTGGCAGAAAAGCAATCAATCATTCACAGAGCCAAGAGGAACTGCTCTGATTTCAAGGAAAACTTTGAATGTGCCATGTCCAAAAGGAGACTTGTTATAACACAGAAATAAGGTGTGTATAGGATCCTGCCTTGAGCTGAATGCTTTACTGACTCTATGAAATCTGTACCTTGTTCTTCATCCTTCAAGCAGACAGCTAAGCACAAGGACATTATTATTTTATAATACAAAGATCCATATAACAAAATTTGGAGTGCTTGTCCCTGTGTCTGAATAGATACTACTGAGGGAATCCTGCACATGAATAAAGCACCAAGCTCATAACTCAGCTGGAACCATCCACAGCAAAAACACTGTTTTACTGCAGAGCACTTCCCAAGATATCTCAGGTATCGATGAGAAAAACAATATGGAACAACAAAACACCTGCCCCCTTTCCCAACCAAAATCACCACTAGTCAGAAGAAAAAAACCCCAAAACAACAAAAACCATCACACACAAACCACAGTTTGGAGAAAGATTTGACAATCTTAAGTTAATTTTAACAGCAACTAAAAAAAAATTAGGCTTAGTTTAAATCTATTTCAGAAGCAATAGGTACAAACGCAGACTATGAAAAATGCAATAAGCTTTTTGCAAGCAAAGCACTGAATGAAAAAATCCCACAGCTGTATAGGCCTATCAATAAATTTCATTATGTTCATCTCTTTTAGTGAATTTCAGTATTACAGTTGAAATTAAAACCATGGGCAATAATCAATTAGAACTATGAGAAAAGATTTTAACAGGTAATCATCACATAATCTTAGGACAATTTTCAATTTAAAAAAAAAACCCCAAATCAATAGAAAATAGTTTCCCTACTCAAAATCAAACCAGTTAATTTCAACTGCAGATAAACTACTGAAAATACCTTTTGAAATCTTTCCAATTTTAGTCTTAAAAAAAAAAATTAAATCTTCTTAGAAATCATTACTAGCCTGCCTGTGGCTATTGGTAATTTAAAGTGATTTCCTGCAGATCTGCATGCAGAAGCACATAGGCTGTAACACTATAAACACAGAAAATGGCCTACTTATAAAGAGACTTACCCTAAAGAAATAATTAAGGGAAAAGACATTCAGGTGTCCTTTGTTCTCTATATCAAGCAGTTTGAAAATATATTGCAGAGCTGCAGGCTCCTTTCTGTTTTCTAATGCAAGCACAAAGTCCAGGTAGGTTTTATAGTCCTAGAAGGAGATACAATCATGTTTATTACAGTCTTCTTTCTAAATTGATTTTGCAAGCAGGAACTCTATAATTGGCAGCTATTTCATTCTAGGGGATCAGTTTATTTTCTGAAAAAGACAACATGAAATAGAAAATGGCTGCTACCACTAATGTGCACAGAAAAGTTAGTTTTTAATGTCTGCTGATAACAGGAAATCCTGCCATTTTAGAGGCAGAATAGCATTCCAAGTATAAATCCAAATGAAACATGGCATATATATGCTTTTACACAATGTTTACTATATATTTAAACTGCTGAATATACCCAACTAATGAAGAAAAAACACAAAATGTTTTCATTACCATAAATTAAATGTCTGGTGGCAGTAAGCCTACTGGTACCAAATAATGAACTATATGGCCAATTACATGATCCTTAAACCAGAGTCAGTGGTCTGGCAAATTACATGCAAGAAACATTATTTAATGCTCCAAATAAGTATCACACTTTCTTTTTTCATTAGTATGGATTCTTGGTTTCCCAATCAAGACACAGCTGTGACAAGGACAGAACTCCTCCAGCCCTGTGTGTATAATTACCCTGTTTACCTGTAACACCAGGGAGTTGTGCTGTCATTCAGAGTCAGCCTGGAAAAATGGGCTAGCAAGAGCCTCACCGAGTTCAACAGAGGGAGGCAAACTCCTGCATCTGGGCAGGAATAAGCCCCTGTACCTGCAGAGCTGGGGGCTCACTGTCAGGAAGCAGCTTTGCAACAGCCCCCTGCAGCAAAGGCTGCTGCCAGCACCCTCAGCTGCACTAGGAAATGCTTTGGTGCAAGCTGAGGAAGGGGATCCTTCTCTACTCAGCACTGCTGGTGCTACATCCAGGCACTGGGCCCTGCCCTGGCCTCCCCCATACAAGAGAGATGAACCTACTGCTGCAAGTCCACAACAGGACAACCAAGAGGATCCCTCATGACCTCAGTGATTATGTGATTCTAACAAAAAAACTGCACAGGTGGCAAAAGGACTGTATGGTGAATTTGTAACTTATCACTTCACATTCCAGTCATCTGGATGCAGACAAGAATTGTGGCTGAACATTAAGTAAAGCTTCAAACAATATAGATATAAGGTGTTACTTTAAATTAGTTAGACTTCTCATTTTTCATAGCTATGGAAAGCTTAAGATGAAAAACATAGTTGTCTTCATGAAAAAGCTGACAGCTTAGCTAACTTGCACTAGTCACAAGTGTGCCACCTGTCTTTGCTTCTCTTTAAAGCATTACATTTAACTAAAAAGTATTGCTGGATCTATACATTTTTTCAACATGCACTTTTATAACTGAATCTACAAGTGGCTTTATCCTAGGCTGTCTGGATTCTCTATCACCTCTGCTTTTTCAAATAACCAAGTTTTTTTAGGCCATTCTACAATCCCTTTGGTGTTAAGAAAATTAACTTGCTAATATATTGCATGATCATTTGAGTGCACAATGATAAACAGGTTTCTTCACCTCAAGCTACTCTTTAAAGATACTGTCTATTAGACATTTCTCAACTCAATAAGCCAAAGATGTGATGCTGTGGACAAAGGGAAAACATGTAATTACCATTTCACCATCATAAGTTAAGCATTCCTGAAAGACACGATCCAAGAATATGTTGGTCAGAGTGCCTGTTCCATAGCGGGACAGCTCTTCTTTGCTGAGCATGCCATTGTGATCTTTGTCAAGGTTTAAGTACTGACCTAGCAAGGAGATAAAAAAAGCCAACCATAATAGATCTCTATCAGAAAAGAATTCTTTCAACAGAGAAAAATAAACAATGAAATGCTAAATTTTCCAATTTCCATGATAAAATTAATGCAGTTAAGTGAGAATTTACTAGATTCACAATAATATTCATAAAGCATCAGAAATAAGTATAGAACATGGAGGGAGAGAAGTGGGATTCGCATAATGAGGTGTTAGCAGTTCTGATATAAGTTAATAGCTGTGGATACTGAGAGAGGAGCAGAAGGCTAAGAGCATATTACTTTATAGAAATATGCTGTAAGCATTAATAAAGAGCTAAGGAGGATGCAAAGGCATGAACAGAGCCAGAAGAGAAGGTTACAGAGGAAACTTGTACCTTGTGCAACAAAGTGACAGATTTTAACACCACAATAAAGAGCAACAGCAGAGAACCAAAATTATAAAGCAAGTCAGGAAGATAAACTGAAAGGGTGAATAGAGGATTTGAAAAGACAAGTTAGCAGGAGGATTTAACATGACAAAAGCAGAGGAAATATAGCAGTAATAATGTGACTAAGTCATACAAGAAAGAGGAGAAGAAAAGTGTTGGCATATAAAGGAACCTACCATAAACTCTTAATGCAGAAGGAGCAGAAAACCAATTTGTTTCCTGACTTTCTTTAGAAAGTTCTTCATCCCTTAACTAAGTGAAACATAAAGTTAGAATTCAGAAAGAGTAAATTAAAATACAACAGTATATGTTAGAGACCTTTACCTCCAGTAAATCATCCAGGAAGCTGCAAGCTAAGATATCCTGTATCTTTATCTTCCCTGCAGCAAGAAAAAGAAAATACATTTTAACAGTTGCTCAGCCAACACATCCATTTCACTATTCTCATTTAGGTTCTACTTAAGAAAGAATTATTTGGAGCAGAAAAAGATGTCTTTTTAAGGAACAAAAGCTAAACAAAACCCATGTCTAACATCAAGGTTAAGGCTCTAATTTCAGAGATAAAATAAAATACCTTTTAAAATGTTTGGACAAAACTACTGATATTGGCAGGAGCTATCCTGAAGCCTTAAATGCCAGAAAACTAGATTAAAATAAATGTGAGTGTTCAATATCAACTACTCAAAATGTAAAATGAAAATTCAAGGAAAGCATGCTTAAATCATTTGATGAAATAGTAATCTCCTAAGTGACAAGGTATTTTTACACCTTCAAAACTCCAGCTGTGACACAAAGCTAAGGCAGCAGAATGCACTTGTGCTGGTGCAGCTCTGACTGGTGCACAGACACTGTGCTAACAGCTGTGCACAATAATGGCACTTAAAACTTCCCACCCACCTCTCCAAACGTGTGCAATTACCTCTGCCAGAGGCTGCTGCCCACACAATCCTGACCTTTACAAGGGGCACAGCTGGACCTTGAAAACAGGTGCAGTTTGTGACTTAAATCGAGGGCCTAGGAGGGAGCTACACTTGTAACAAGCACTATCAGACCTAGCTGCACACCTCTTCTAGTGGGTGCACATGGTGCACACAGATTTAATCACAGGAAAAGCACATCACTCTAACCATCCTGAGCATTTCCACAACTCTGTGGATGTTCTGACAAGCAGTTGTGTTGGTTGCTGCGTTTTCTATTCACCCTAAACACTTAAAAAATTAGCTACTGCTAATGGCTCATTGTGGTGAAACAGAATCTGATTTGTCAGTGTGTGAGAGATAATTCTATAGCACCTCAGCTGATAGGTATCACACAGAAATTCAGTAGCTCTAAAAGGAGATTACTAGACTACAATCAAGTCATGGTCTTCAGTGGAGAATATCCTTCAATGCTGGACAAAAGCCTACCAGGACAACTACACATTGCTTTGAAAATACAAGTAGCTTCAGTGGAAGTATTTTAAGAGACCTACCTGTTCTGAGAGGATCCAGAAAGAAGAAGAACTTTCTAACTGCTGTGCAGACATAAAAGGAGTAAAAAGATTTTTCTAAGCCATCCAGTTGTGGCAAAGTAGGGATGAGTTCCAAAATATAGTTTTCTAAATCCTGCAGAATTAAGAAAAGGAAACAAGCATAGAACATTACAATTGTTCCATGTTTGCTATATTCCTCCCTGGCTTTCAAGTGTATTTTGTTAAAAATACAGTCCTGCAACAATGCAGAAAAGAGCATGAAAGCAGGTAAAAAAGCTTCTGTCTATGTGCAAGAAATTGTAGATCATATACATGCAGATGTTATTGTAGGGCTGAAACAACCTATTAATGAATCAGAATTTAACAAAGTACATAATATTTATATGTAAATATAAATGCATTCCACTGTACCTTTTTCAAATATCAGGAGCATAAGTCCTCACTGGATTATCCCATTGCTTAATATTCTTCAATAAATCTTTTTTCTTTGAGTGGTAACTAGGACATTTTTATTTACTTTGTAATATTTACCTCATTTTAGAACAGGAGAATAATTCACTGAAGAATAATTTGTGATTTTTATCATATCCTACTAAATCTAGTGCTAATGACAAAATCTTTGTAGGTACAATCCTTTTTTCAGAAAACTACCCATAAGTTTAAAAGGCTAGCACCACTCTCACCACCACATCTCTTGAATACATGAATTGCAATTTATCCAAACGTGCCCACCCCAAATCTATGTTATGATATAAACTTTTACAAGATAAGGCTAGAAAAAAATTGGCATCTTTCTGATGCTCTATCATTTGATTTAAAGAGAGACATTAACTTTATCAAAAATTCACTTACTGATTCTCTGAGGTAGCCTTGTCCTGCCACATCATATAAACTGAGACCTATTCTTGTCTGATGAAGCCATACTGTGAAACAGAAAACAAAATTACAATGCAAGAAACCTATGGGGCTTTTGAGTTTATGCCAAAATTTGATGTTATTCTCGAGGCCAGGCACAGCTGGATTTTAAGTGCTTCTTCCCATTTTTCTCAGCCTTAAGCAAAGCCATGTCATGTCCTGCTTAGAAACACTGTTTCAGTCTTTAAATTTTTAAGTCATTTGCAATGTACTATAAATATACACTTCATAAATATATACTATTTATAATATAAATATACACCATTGCCACGACTGCCTTATAATAACTAGATGTGAAAAATGGCTGAGCAGACACCACATTTTATTTGGTGTATCACAGAATGGCTAGGATTAGAAACAACTTTAAAGACCATCTAGTTCCAACCTCTCCCTGCCACAGGCAGGGATGCCACCCACTAGACCAGATTGCTCAAAGTCCCATCCAGCCTGGCCTTGAACACTTCCAGGGATGGAGCATCCACAACTTCTCTGGACAATCTGTTCCAGTGCCTCACCCCCCTCTAAGTAAAGTATTTCTTCCTAACATCTCCTCTAAATGTCTCCTCTTTTAATATAAAACTGTTGTCCTACCTACTGCAAAACTGAACTGTCTTACCTATTGCAAATTTGTATTCTCCTTGTCCTATCACTGCCTGGCTGAGAAGTCACTCTCTCCATTTTATACACTCCCTTTAAGTACTGAAAGGCCACAATGAGGGCTCCCCCAAAGCCTTCTCTTCTGCAGGCTGGACAACCCCAACTCTCTCAGCCTGTGGCCACAGGAGAGGCTCACATCTCTTCTGTGCTGACTCCAGATGGGGTCTCAAGAGTCTCAGAGCAGAGAGAGAGAATCATCTCCCCTGACCTGCTGGCCATGCTGCTTTTGATGAAGCTCAGGCTTTCCAGGCTGCAAGCACACACAGTTAGTGACATGGAATCATATGGATTCTTCTCTGTCACTGACTGAGAAATGTGTAGCAGTGCATTTTCACTGCACTAAACACCTGCACTATGTCATATACAGATAGACCGCTACAACCCCTTGTATAACACCAGACACTGCAGCTACAGCCAAAGGTCAGGCCCTCACTTCTGAGTTACAAGACAAGAATTAGAATCATACAAGCATCTGTCTTTGTAATGAGAAGGCACATTAACTGGAAAATCTACAGGACAATGTGCTTCCATTGTCAAAACACTGTAACAGTGATGGAGTATAAGAATCATTAAAATTAATAAATTAGATTAATAAAAACTATTATTCACATACTCAACATTAAATTTAACTCCCATTTTCTGACGAAACAGCTCAAAAGTTCCTCTTATGCAATATGAGCTGTCCTTCACAACATTCACTCCTCAAGGTAAGTGTTTCTCATGGTGTGCTGAGAGTCAGAGAGCAGGCATTATACAGTGAGGCTGTTTCACTGTCGGCTTAAGTTTAAAGGTAAATATATCACACGTGAAGTGATTTGGCGGTGCTGGCTTTTTTTTAATTACTATTTTCTTTGTTTGCTTAGAAGAAAGGCATCATCCTAAATACACAGGACCCAAAACTTCTGGGTGAAACAAGCCCTGAAAAACCTCTGTCCATCTGGGTGGGCCTTTCTGAAATGCATACAATCCTAACAGACTTTGCCACAAGTCTCCTATCCTGCAGCTTTTGGGTTTGTGGCTGGAAATGGGTCTATTACTCATTCCTTGCATATTCTGCACACCTGCACATCATGCTTCCTGCTCAACACATTTCTCATCCCCTGCGCCACAAGATTTTAACTTAGGCAGGCTGAGAAAGGTGCTGTTCTCTTAGATCTGCTTTAGCAGAACTGAGAACACAGTAGCCAGGGCAAAAGACAATGAGACAATCTTCCATTCTGCTAGCCAGCCCAGTATTTTTAAACAACATCTAATACATATTAAAACAAAAAAAGGGCATTTTTCAGCCCAAGTGACTATTGATAATAAAAAATAGCTGCAAGCATGGTAAGTGACAAGCACAGAAACATACTGACATATCTGACACACAGTTAAAAAATATAGACATCAATGTGGAAGGACAAACAGCAAACAAAGCTATCTGCCTGATCACAGTGGTTGAGATCACACCTGCCATGGAACTGTATTGCTTTGCACTTCACAGTATTGCCTGAATAAAGGAAAAAAGGAAAGAATGACAATATATATAACAAATAGATCAAGCATATCTCTGACTGGGGAGAGGTGGATTTCAGAGGTAAGATGGACTCCCACCTTCTAGTAACAAGAAAAACATCCCAAGCCTCAAAATAAACAGCATTTGTAGTTAAGGACAGATCTCACTGCTGTTGAAGGGAACATCAAGTAACAAATAAAGCTGAAAAAGCCTTAAAATGAAACAACTTCTAACACAGAAGAAGCCCTCACTAACCTTTTCGCATGACATAATTGAAGAACTGCATGATAGAGATTCTCCCATAAGGATCATTATGCAGCAATTTAGCAAAGATCTTTGCTGTAAAGAATTGCCTGCAAAAAAACCACACACCTGATTACACTGCACTGACAGATCCAGTTATAGTATTTGACATTTACAGATCCTGAAAAATAATGTTTTAACACAGAGTGTGTTAATATGCTACATTACAGTCATCAGGTGGAATCCTACCAAGTAACAACATAAAAAGCAGCCACTTCTTCTGCTCATGAGACTCTTCAGTGATGTAGAACTTTTGAGAGCTTCTATTCAATTTCTCTTTAGTACAATGTGTTTGGTAGCTTCCAACCTTCTACAACAATATGCACATAAAAGAAATTGCCAGTACTGACAAATAACTGGCTTCTGCCCAAATTTCAATCACAAAGCTATGTGCACAACAGCCATCTCCAAAAGGAGCAGAAAGAACTACCATTCACTGCATGCTGTGCACATCTGGTAGGAAATTCTGCATCAGAAGATATTAGGGAAGGTTGGGCAATACCACTGGAGACATGATTTCCAGTTCATTTACATAACGTGCTGTTTGCTGACCACTGACATCTAAAAATGTTCATGTTGATGATAACTTTTCTTCAAAAGGATGCACTACCATTCTTTCAGCTACCTCTATTACAAGTCACCTCAGAGAGGCAGAGTACAACTTGGCAAGGATGTAAAGGAACCAGTTCATCAGTAACTACATGGATATGATTTTTTTCTCACCTTAAAACTGTTCCCATCTATTTTAGCAACTGAAAGCTACAGTAGCACTTAGGTTTAGCCAAAATGAGCACATACAAGAGAAGAAAGCCTTACTTGCATTTTGGTCCAGCTTTTTCACCAACTTTTAAGAAGTTCTCATAATTAATCATTGCTTCTTCCCCAATCATTGGTGATGTCTGATGTTTGTCCAGTAGAAACCATAGATTCTTAAAAGGTATTTATATTTGGTTAAGAAGATATCTCCAGAGATGTTAACATGCTTAAGGTATAGTATTTAAGAAAATCAGCAAAAATGTGGGCTTGATGCAAGGGCTTCTCAGTTAATCGGGACACATGGTCATTCAGCCAGAAAAGTCAGTGTGTGCTACTTCCACTCCCTTAAATGCTGCTAAACACACACACACTCTCCACATGCACACTCTCCCTCCCTCACTAGCATTTCTAGGGTCCCACCCCTTTTGTCTTTGCAGTGTAATAAAATCATCCATCTTAGGAGTCTCTCTCAGTGACACATAAACAGAACTTATCATCTGGGCCCACCAAGAAATCAATGCAACACGCTGGAGAACTGGAAACCATCCGTTTAGTCTTCACATACACCATAACAAGGAAGCTTCACACTGGCATTACCAGCCCAAGGCTAGGGAGCACCTCAGCTTTACCAAGTACTGTGTGCCCAAATTCAAAGCACCTTACCACAAGATTCTGTGGGCAGACAGGAGATAATCTAAATCCATTCAGAAGCCATTACAAGACATACAGAAATTACTCTCCTACCTGCAGCTCTTCATTATCCAACAGTTCTCTACTTTTTCTTTGCAGAAAGACAGCTCGAGATTCTTCTCTTAATTTCTGAAGCAAGACCTCATCTTCAGCTGGCAGCTGCAAACATTGTGGCATTTTAATTTTCAGCACAGGAGCATTCAAAAACTACACATCCAGCAAGTATTCTTAGGTAGTCTTGAGTCACACACTCTAATTGAAGTTGCTCACTTAACAGGAAATAGCCAGTCTACCAAACTTTCCAAAGAGTGGAAGTCTACTAGACTTGTTTGGCCAACAAATAAGATGAAAGAACACCTAGTGTGAAAGTTCTGCCAATATTTACATGCCAAACTGTACAGCACCACTGGAACTTGGAGAGTTGCACATGTACCCATCAGCTGAAACACAGGTACTTGAGAACTGCACTGGCAGAAATGTGAGACCCTAAGGAATACGTGACCATGAGAGGTTTGGCAGCAGCTGAGCAGTCACGTTGATGAGTACCAGCAATACCAAGATGTCAACAAGTGCTCCCATCCCAATCTGATTCATGCTCACAATTAGGCTGCTGGACCAAGCATTTCTGATGGATGGTGCAAGCAACAGATCCATCTCTAGTCTGCAAGACCAGTGCCCCACCATTTTCATGAGGCAGCATCCCACCTCTAAGCAGGAGGAAATAGAAGATGCACACATGTAACACCAGTACATCAAAATTTATTTAGAACTTTAAGTGCCTCTGAAAGACAGCTTGCTATCTTTACCAAGCAGACTGATTAGCAAAATATTTCACTGACCCTGATAAGATTCTCAGTACTTATTTAAAACTGCTGAAATTCCCAATTGTACAAAACAAAAAATTAGACTAAGCAATTCACATCACTCAGACTTCAACCTACTTTAGCTTCTGAAGCTGCAGGGTGCCTGTGAGTGAGCATAACTTTTTGTTGTAACACAGCCTCTTGTTAAAAGTTTATCCAGACACTTCACTTACCCTGTAGTAAAATCGCGGTATGTTTGCATATGACATGTTGTCACTTTTTTTCCCTCCTTTCCATTCCATATAATATTTTGTGAACAATTCCATTTCTTCATCTTTTAGCTCTTGTTCGCTCTTTTTGGCTGATTGACATAGAAAAGAATGTTCACGCTGTACTCCAGAGAGAGTTCTAATGTAAACAGGGGCTCGAATAGCAGAGTTAATACTGGGGCTTATCTGGTTGTGCTGTTTGGTAACACAAATATGAGGTGGAAATGAGCGGAACACAGACCAATTTCATAAATTACACAAGAATACGCCCCGTAAGTATGTTGAGTATGGGCACATCTCTCTTTCAATGACCGCACACACCCGATTCGCTGCAGGTGTGCAGCAGCTCACGGAGCAGCTCGGTGAGGCTGCCCGGCAGAGCAGCAGCGCTGTCTCAGACACAGCTGCGAGCTGCGGGCCCCCTCAGACCGGCTCGGGGCCGCCGCTGCGCACCTGCGCCGGCCGCGCTGCCCCGCGAGCCAAGCGCTTCCAGCCGCGGCGGGGCCGTGAGCCCAGCCCTCACCGCCCGCACCGCTCCCGGACCCTGAACCGCGGGAGTTTGGTTCTCCGCAGGGCAACTCCGGGACCCGCCCGGCCCCTCCAGCAGCGCGGACACGGCGAAGCACGGCAGCACCGCAGAGGCCGACGCTCGCCCCGCCGGCCGTGTCCCGCCCGGTCCCGCCGGTGACTGCGGGCAGCCCGGGGCGCTTCCCCGCCCGCTCCCGATCCCGCTCCCGGGCACTCACGCGCACGGCGTGCGGCCAGGCGGGCCCGCAGCCTCCGCTCCCACTCCATCGGCACGAGCCCGCCGCCACCGCCTCCCCGCGCATGCGCGCTGCCCTTCACGACGCGCCCCTGCCCTTCGAAGCTTTTTTTGCCCACATCCGACATGGCGGAGCGGCCCCGTCCCTCCTAACGGGTTGCGCGGATCACGTGTCGCCCCTCCCGCTGGGACGCGATTGGCTCCACGCGCGGGCACGGGCCCGCCACGCGCTTCCGGGCCAATGGGAAGCTGGCCCGCACTGCCGTGGGGCACGCGCCTGCCGCGCATGGCCGCCGCGCGCTGCGTCAGGTGGGACCCGCGCGGGGCTGAGGGAGAGACGGGATGAGGGAGAGAGGGGCGAGCGGGAATGGCTGTCCCGAAAGCCGGGAGTTCTGCCGTACGGCCGGGCCCGGCCCGCGGAGCACCGAGTGAGGGACGGGGGACCCTGCGGGGTACCGAGTGAGGGACGGGGGATCCTGCGGAGTCTCCCCGCAAGGCGGATCAGCCTGCGGACCTCCCGGTATTTACCTGTATAATCTTACGTGTCCCTGGCATTTCAGTGTAATTACTGCCTCTGTAATTTGCCTGTTGCTCTGCCTCTTTGGCAGCTGCGTTACCAAGGATTTGGGATTGGGAAAACAAGTTAAATGGAAGTTTGTCACCAGGTGGAAAACGTGAGGGAAGCAATGTAGGAACCCCGTCCTGGGGCTGCCTGAAGGATCGGGGTTGGGATTTCTCACCTGAAATCATCACCTGAGCTACCCAGAGTTTCGTGTTTGCTAGCATGCAGGTGGAAATATCACAGGAAACCACGGAGCAGGTCATGATGTTGTAGTGTTATTTTTATTTTTAGGAAATCTCCCGACTTAACTTGGACAAAGGCAGAAAGAAAAACCCCGTGCTTTTTGTGTGGCTGCATCAACGTTGCCTCTCTGCGTACAACATTGACGGTACACATCACTGCTGTAACCAACAAACAGGAATATGTGAAACAACTTCTCTAGAAAGAAAGATGCCCTCATTTTGCATGATTGCTCTCACAGTCTAAGAGATTGACTTTCATGAGAAAAGATTTCACCATTGTTTGTGTCCATAAGAGACAAAAAGGACTCACAGAACAAGCATCTGGAAACAGAAGCTTATACAGCTTGACAGCCCTTGGGCTTCTATTAATAACCATCCCCATGCAAACTGTATTTTTAATTTCATAACTTCATCAGATACAGTGAGCTAATAGTGAGACAGTTTGATCTTGTGATGGCACTCTTTTCTCAAACAAGTCAGGGTTTTCAGGCTTTGCTGTGGAAATGTCACATGTTCTGGCCCATCTCAAGATGCCGACAACTGTTTGCTGCCTCTTTCAGCACCCCTAATAGGGAAAAAATTAACTCTTTCAGTTCTATGACAACTTCCAGCACTGCTTTACCAGTGGACCCCAAAGAAACTGATGCCTTACCTGCCAAGAAAAGGTCTGAAATTGATTGCAAAGAAGGAAAAGGATGGGATGAGGAGCCTAAAGAAATACCTGAAGGGAAATTCCTCTTTTCTTCCTCTGTTGGAGCTGCAAAGAAATGGTCAATGAGTCCTGTTGTGTCAAGGCATCGCTTTAGCAATGTACAACCTCCAGAAAAACCTTTGCCGGCTGAGGAATGGAACAAACTAAAGGGAGATTTCCAATCCCCTGAAATATTTGAAGAGGTGATGCTGAACAGTATGATCAGGTGCAACAGCCCCATTGACGTGGCCAAGTCCTTGCTGACGCACCTGGCAAAGCGCAACGGTGACATTGCCTACAACATGCTGGTCAAGTACCTGACCCTGTGCGTGCAGCAGGGACAGGTGTCAGAGATCCGTGACGTGTACGACATCATGAAGGCCAGGTTCAAGATGTTAGAAAGTGGGGCTTACAGCCTTCTAATCAGGGGCTTGAGCAATTCAGATCAGTGGAGAATGGCCTTGAGTGTTTTGGAAGAAGTAAAAAAGATTATGATTCCCTCACGGACGTGCTATGAAGCTTGTATCAAAGCAGCCAGCCGTCACCAAGAGATGAAACTGGCCTTTGAACTGTACAGTGAGATGTTGGCTAAAGATGTGGTCCCAACCTTGCACGTCCTGCAGTCGTTTTTTGACTTCAGCAGGGGTATGAAAGGTGCTGAGCTACAAAAAGAGCTCTTTGGTGTCCTCTTATATTTGAGAGAGAACCAAATATACCCCCACAGAACATTTATGCAGAGTATAAAGCTGTGGTTTGAAAGGTAAATAAAGTTTCAATTGCAAGATGCAGTTCATGAGGAGAAGGGATCCAGATTATCCCACAGATCAGCTCTGAGATCCCTCAACATCTCATTTTGATTTTTGCTTCTTCACAAGAGACATGTTGCCATGAAAAGATGCATTTTATTTTTGCTCACAAATTACTGTGAAAGTTTAAAATTTTTACTGTTTTCACCTTTTCTTTTACCTGTTAAATATTGTTCCTTGGTACAAAAATTAGGAAATTATGTTGGGTCGTAACAATTCAAAATAGCTGACTTCATCTCTTTCTGGGGTGCTAGATAAGGAATATTGACTGGTGTTTGAGGGCTTTTCTTATAATTTATTGGAGTGTAGATGTAGTAAGCTAATTGGAAGGTAAATAGTTTCTTTCTTTAAAGGAAAGAGGCAGCAAATTCCACTAGGTAAAATGAAGATTAAATGCATTGACTTTGTTCATCTCCTAGTGTTCTGTACAATCTGCATAGGAGGCTCTATGTTTTAGCACAGTATTTAGCTGGTCACACAGTTTGTTGTCATGAGTAGTGATTGTCAGACTCTACAGATTACAGCTAGTTACAGTGCACATGCACAGTGGGGTTCACCTGACCCCATTCCCCCATTCCATATTTGTCATGAGGTTGGGTGTGAGCCCATCTGTGATTTTTTGGCTTTCATTCATGTGAGCTCCAGAGCCATTTTACTTGTTAGTCTTTCTGGATGGAAAATGTGGCAGTGGGAATGCACTACCATTATTGGAATGGCTTATGAATGTGTAGGGCAGTCACTTAGAAGTTGTCAGTGCACACTGATTGTTTGTGTGGCTCTTAAAATTTGAGGACAGCATAAACTGCTGAGGGTGACAGTGTTAGTTTTTTGCATGTTGTTAAATGCTGGTTCTTTAGAAAATATTCCAGGTGTTACTAAATTAATATGGATTTTTATATAATTTCTTTGTAAGGTGGATGATTGACTGGATTTTTTATTTCTAAATTTGACCAAACTATAATTATTTTTACATGTAATTTGGATATTGTTAAATAAGAGCCTAGCTAATTTTTTTATTTATCTTTCCCTCTGTACATATTAGTTTACCAGGAGGGAACTGGAGAGGACGCCTGACCAAAATTAAAGACAGGTAAATGCAACATTCTGTTTGTAAGTGAGGTCTTGATTAGTCTGTATTGATCTCTTCCTTCAAAAATATAAAAAAATGGCTTTCCTTATATACAAAAGTATTTCAGTCCTTGAGAATATGAACCTTTGTTGTGACATATGATTTCACAAACTCCAGTTTCCAACTCGTACAATAATCAAGACCCAGCATGTACATTTGAAAAAGAATTATGCTTAGCAGAGCCAAGACAGAAAAACACAGTAAAAAATAAGAGGTGCCATTTTACTGTGTGGCTTATTTGTCTCCTGTTTAGGATTTAAATACTTTCTTTTTTGTTGACTTTATGATACTGTTGTTTAACAAGATCTATAGTAGAGCAGTGTGTAAAAGCTTCTCTTTTTGAAAACTGATAGTATTTGCAAACTGCAGTTAATTTGTACAGATGAAAGATTTCTCCCTATCTTATTTTCAGTGTAGACAAAATGTTTCTTAGATTTTCACAGGTATATTTTGGTGTGTGTTTCTATCACAGTGCAGTTTTCTTAACTTCTGTAAATTGCTGTTTTAAATGTTATTCTATTTGAAACCTTGTTTTATGCTTTTGTAGCAGTTTGGCAATTATAAATGTATTAATTATGAGAATGCCTCCAATGGGTTATGGGAGTTTTAGGTGGTTTATAAAAATACTCTGTGTTGCATACTGTGAAGTAAAAGCACATGTAGAGCCCACAGTTTTTGAAACCCTTGAAAGAACAGGATAGCTCACTCTTTTAAGAGTTGTTTGCTATAAAATAAATTATTATTATGTAAGAATGTGTGTGGTACTGTACTCTGTTATAATAATTCATCATATTTTAGACAGCTTTTTCCAGCCTTAAAGAGTTTTAAAATTCTAAAGTCAATTGTCTTGACTGAGAGATAAGTCTGTTTTCTGTTATACTGTTTGTAAACAGTTAAAGACTTTGAGAAATAAACTAACTTAAATCACCTCACATTTTATCATGGGTTAAGAACCTGTGAACAAAATGGTGCCAAGTGGTTCCGTAGTAATTTTTCTAGAACAGTAAGAACACTTTATTTTGAACTAAATCAGTTTGAGGTAGCCTACTTGGATAAGTATTTGAATAGAATTGAAATGGTTTCAAGAAAATAAAAAGAATATAATAGCTAGTGAATTTAACAGGTTTTAGTGAATTTTAACAGGTATCACAGAAAGACTACAACTAATTTGCTGATGATTGTACTGTGTTGGGCTTCTTTTAAAGAATTGTGCTCATATACAGACACTTGATAGGTTAGTAATATTTAAGGAATTTCTTATTTAATAGCATTTTTCCTTCTATTTTCTTGTTTCACTGTTATTGCAGTGGACAATGCCCAGTTTGCAACCATCAGCTGGAGGACAGTAACCTCACTGAAGAGGAATACAGTCATCTCAGTGAGAGAATAATAAAGGACGTGATACATGGAGCTGACACTTTTAGAAAGACAAGCCCACAGGTAGGTCTTGTACACTCTCAGGTGCATGGGCTAGAAGGATAATATGCAAGTAATGTTCAGGCACTTTGAGAACACCGGAAATTTTTTCCTTTGCTTTAAACATTGGTAGGTCATTAGATAGGCCATGACGTATCCTGTGTGTTTATATATCCTGTGTTTATCCTGTGAAGTATTCAGTT